CTTTGGGTTTGTCCTGCTCTTCTTTTTCTTGAAGCTTGAGGTTCAGTATCAGGTTGTTTAACTGAGTTCACATTATTTTCCTAATTTGAGTATTCACTGCTATGAATTTCCCTTGTAAGACTGCTTTCATTGTGTCCCATAGATTCTGATATGTTGCATTGTCATTTAATTGTAGGAACTGTCTGATTTCTTCTTTAATTTCCTCTGTGACCCACTTGTTATTCAGAAGTGTGTTGTTCAATTTCCATGTGTTTATGAAATTCTTGAGGTTTCTTTTGCTATTGATCTCCAATTTCATAGCACTATGGTCTGGTAATATACAGGGGATAACTTCAATTCCTTGGCACTTGCTTAAACATGTTCTATGAGCAAGTATGTCATCTATTTTGGAGAGCAACCCTTGTGCAGCTGAAAAGAATGTCTTTTCTGATTTTGTGGGGTGGAACACTCTGTGAACATCTGTTATCTTCATTTGTTCAAGAGTTTGATTGAGTTCTAGTATTTTGTTTTTTATTTTTTTTTGTCTAGTTGATCTATCTATTTGTGAGAGTAGGGTATTAAGGTCTCTCACTACTATTGTATTAGTATTTATTTGATTTTTCATGTCCATAGTATTTGTTTTATATTGTTGGGCACACTAGTGTTTCGTGCATATATATTTATGATTGTCATCTCTTCCTCTTGGGTTGTTCCTTTTGCAAGGATGTAGTGTCCTTCTTTGTCTCAATCAGTGTTGGTTTGAACTCCACTTTATCTGGAAAGAGGATAGCTATTCTGGCTTTTTTTCAGGTTCCTCTCACATGGAATATTGTTGTCCACCCTTTAACTTTCACTATATGAGTTTCTTTTTGAATTAAGTGTGTTTCTTGTATGCAGCACATTGTTGGATCTTGCTTCTTGACCCATTCTGCTAGTCTACTTCTTTTGATTGGTGAATTGAGACCAGTAACATTGATGGTTATAACTGATATGTATTGACTTATCATTGTCATGTCTTTTTCTTTTTGTTGGATTCTCCTCCTTTGCATTTAATTTCTTGTTGTGCCTGATGGATTTATTCTGCTGGACTTCCTGGGGTTGTGATCCTCATTTTCTTTTCCTAGGATGTTGTCTAAAATTTTTTGGAGTGATGGTTTGGTATTCATGAAGTTCCTAAGTGGCTCTTTGCATTGCAATGTAGATTATAATTGAGTAGGCCATATTTTCCCATAAATAGTTAGATAATCAGAAAATTTTCCCTAACCATTTATAAAAAAATCCAACAATATACTTCAAGGGTGTAAAAATAAAAATAAAAGAATACTTATCATAATTTAAACTGATAAAGAGCTATATTTTCCAAGTCCTATAAAATAATATTACAGGATCCTACAAGCTGATTTATATAGGCCGATATGCAAAGACCATTCAAAATTAAGAAGCAAATTTATTTTTTAAAAAAGGATTTGCTAAAGTTTAGCATAATTTATCAAGAAACAGGTGACTAAAATAGGAGAAATTTATCTTTAATTGATAAGAGTTGACCTTCAACAATCCTACAGCAAACCTTGTATTTTACAAAGTTAGAAGTACTTATTTGAGTTGGAACAACCATGTTCCCTCATATCAGTACTGTCAACATCACTCTACAATTCTTAGGACAGTAAGATAAGCAAAACTGAAGTATAAACTTTGCAAATGAAGAGGCAAAACTGTCATTAATGGTGAATGATAATATTTACAAGGACAATGGAACAGGTGAAAGATCCCTGAATGACTGTTGCAACCAGATATGGCAATCAATATGGAGATACCTCAAAAAACTAGGAGTAGAGGTCCCATTTGACCCACCTAGTCCCTTGCTGGGTATCTTCCCAAAAGAATTAAAAGAATCATACCACAGTGATATATGTGCACCCATGTTTATAGTAGCACAGTTCGCAATAGCTAAAGCTTGGAAACAGCCCAAATGCCCATCAGGTGGAGACTGGCTAAAGAAGATGTGTGTTGTTGTTTTTTTTGTAAATAAAATTGAGTACTATTCAGCCATAAAGAATGAGAAACTAGAGACATTTATAGCTACATGGATGCATATTGAGGCCATACTCCCAAGTGAAATAAATAGGACACACATGTGTCAATACCAAATAGTTTCTCTGGTGGAGAAACTGAAAGTGTAAATAAGAATCAAAATGTATAATAGATAATGTGAAACAAGAAGAAAAGTTCTAAAGGGGAAGGAAAAGTGGGAGGGGTAGGGGAAAAGAAAGACGGGAAAGGAAAAAATATGAGAAAAGGAAAAAATGGAAACAAAGTCTCTGTAAAAGGGAGGCATGGAGGGGTTGAAGGGAGGGCAGGGAATGGGGAAAATAAGAACCAAGCTACATCATGTAAAGGTGCAAATTCCCAATGATGAATGTCATCGTATTGTACACCTAAAATGTACCAGTAAAATTAATGAAAAAAACCCCAATAATTTTGAAACAGATTGAAAACTCCTTGCCCCCGCTGCAAAAAAAAAAGAAAAAAGAAAGATCCCTGCATGAGGAACTGTGGTCCTCTGAGAACCATTTTGATCCAGCACAGCATCAAGATCGGGCAAATCATGCAATGAAGGGTAAGATAGCCTTCACTATAACCACAGCAGTATCTACAAATTTTGTGGAAATAAACCAAAAAATTAGCCAATTAACAAAAAAATGTTTGAAAACTCAACTAAAGATAAAATAATTGTAGCAAGTTCAATGTTAATGAAAAAGCACAGCTTTTGAAAATGTGCTAATAATTTCGAATTTCTACAAATGTAATTCTAACCATAATTCTTATATGAAACATAGATATAAAATTTTATATGATTACCCAATAATGTCAAGTAGCTAAGCCAATTTTGAAAAATAAGAATAATGAATGTGTGAAATCTAGAACAAGTTAGTATCATAGAAGTTGAGTAGATTACTGGTTATCCAAGTCTGGAGATAGTAGTGGGTAGGAAGAGATGGTGAAAGACTGATAACACGTACTAAGTAATAGTTTAGCAGGAGAATCAGTTCAGGTGTGCTGTGTTTGTACAACAGGATGACTACAGTGCACTGTATATCTTAAAGAACACAGAAAGAAAGGATTTCGATTACCTTTACCACAAAGAAACAATAAATATTTAGGAGATAGGTGTGTTCACTTAATCTGATATAAGCATTACACAAGCCAAGCATGGTTGTGCATCCCCATAGTCCCAGTTCTTTAGGAGGCTGAGGCAGAAGCCTTGTGACTTCTCACCCAGCCTTGGTAACTTCATGACTTAATGAAACCCTGTCTCAAAATAAAATATTCAAAAAGGGCTCAGGGATGCACCTCAGTGAGAAGACCTGGGTTTAGTCACCAGTATTATAAAAATTATACAATATATACATGTATTGACACATCACAAGACATCCCATAAATCTGCACAAATTTATTTTAAAAATCAAATAAGTATACCTAAGTTCTCCCATCAGAGAGAGAGACAGAGAGAGAGACAGAGAGACAGAGAGAGACACAGAGACAGTGACAGAGATGGAGAGAGAGACAGAGAGACAGATCTAGGAAGAGAAAGAGATAGTGAGAGAGAGAGACAGACAGAGACACACAGAGAGAGACAGAAAGAGAGAGACAGTGAGAGAGAGAGAGAGACAGAGAGAGTGAGGGAGAGAGATGTGAGGGGAACACCTATGTTAAGGGTGAGTGAGATGAACCTTGCTTTCTCAGATTCTGGGATATACTACAGTGTCAGAACACTGAGCCCAAGGGTCCACTCCTGAACATAGAAGAACTTGGAATGTAACAGTGGAATTACAAATGAGTGGAGATATCAGAGATTAGAAAATAGCCCTATTTGTAGAAAATCTCATTATTTGTAGAATAAGAAAAGTAAGCCTTTCCCTCAGATGGTATCTTAAAGACATAGATATATGTGAAAGGTAAATCTTTACAATTAATAGTAAAGTAGTGTAATAGAATATGTTTTTGTGAACTTTAGATGAGCAAGTTTTTCTAAATAAGCTACCTAAAGTAAAAATAAGCCCAGAAGGCAAAACAGTGATGGAGTTAACTACATGAAAATTAAATATTATCATTTATTGTGTAATAGATTACAGACAAGGGAAATATGTTTGTTATGTTTAAGACTGGCAAAGGACTAATATGAAGGATATAAAAGAAAATCTTGGAATTTGCTGACCAACTGGAAACTCAACCAAAACTAGACCAAAACTATAAATTTATAAAAAAGGAAACAACAGGGCTTTCTAGGACTAAAAGTGGTGGTCAGTGTCACAAGTGAAGAGACTTAAACAAAAGAATCAAAAAAAAAGCAAAACATTTTATTCAACTACAACATATTAGAAAGTCCAATCATACGAGTGGCTGGTGACAACATGAGGGAGGGGAGCTCTCACCCCGAGTGTAGGCAGCAGGACTCTTCAGGGATCAGCCATCTAGCATCACCTGGAAATGCACTCGCATACACATTGCCTGCTCCACACCTGGGTCTTTGGTTCCCAGGAAACTGCACCCGGTTTCCATGGCAACAGACCCACAATTCCTGATGAGAGATTAATTTGAAGTGGAGCAAACTGACGTAGGCCTGAGTATTGCAGTGACATTTCACTGAATTTAAATATCCTATATACCATTTTCAGAAGAAATTGTCTAAACAAGGATAGACCTCATGAACAGATTTTTCTTTATAATGGAATAAATAAGTGGGAATAAAGAAAAAATTAAAGAGAGAATCATATGGATTGCTCTGAACTGAAATATTTGATTAATTCTGTTCATTTAGATTCCACGCACGTGCATGCGTGCACGCGTGCACGAGGGGGGGGGGAGAGGGAGAGAGAGAGAGAGAGAGAGAAAAGTGTATAATAAAAAAGCACACCACATAAGGGATCTAGTGAATCACTAGAGTGGAGATATGCATTAAATTCTCATGCTATTCGTAATAAGTGGAAAGTCTCACTTCACTAGGAGATACTTTTATAGATCAAAGTGTCATTAAGTAACAGAGTTTTTAATCTGGATGAGACCTTTACAGATAAGCATTTCACTTTCTGGATGAAGATATTTCACTATAAAGCTTGAAACACTTTTTGGAAATCAGTTGAGAGGTGTAGTTGGCTTTTAAAAGTTGTTTCCAAGAGTCTTTATTTGGTGATCTCTTTCCATAATTTTGGCCGCAACAAACAGACACATTTAATGACTTTTCTTGGACTTACAGGTACCTCAAGAGCAGACATTCAGAACAGTCCAATGTTAAACTCTTTATTGTATTGAGCCTTGTTAAACAAGGCAATAAAATGGCAGCTTCTCTAAAACTTCTTCACTAGATCCCTATCTAACATTATTGCATAACTCTGATAATCAAACTACAGATTTTTAATAAAAGTATCTAAGGCATAACTTACTGTGTCATGCCATGTTACTGTATTCAGACTTCATTCTTCAGAAAATTGGTTTCTCCATCCAAGAGAATAGATAAGAATTTTTTAAATCAAATTTTGAAACCCATTCTTTTCTTTTTAAATCTAGCAACCAAGAGGTTCAAAACAAAGAGGCTGTAGATTTCGCAGTTCACCTGTGCAACTGTGTCTTTGTTCTGATTTTCTGGGATAAACGCATACCAACCTACCATGTTACATTTTTCAGCTCTTACTTCTTTGTGTTCTAATGGTCTCACTGTGTCTTAGCCTTTTATGGAGACTTGACTATTTTGGAAGTCACTGAAGAATTCATTTCGAAAAGGGCAGTGATAGATCAGTGAGAAAGTTTTCACCCCTAGTAATCTTCTGTTCGGTTCAGGACTAACCTCAAACACGATGATGAAGGCCAGCCGGGCAGCCAGGATGTGCCAGTATTGGAGGGTGAATTCATAGGGCTTGGAACTCCAAGGGGGGCCTCTATAGTCTCGGTACCTGAATCACACAGAAAACAAAGTCTGTCAGGAGTAGGGATCAAAGTGTAGAAGCCTCAAATATTCTTGATTTGCCAAAATTCCAAGACAGTGTAAATGGGCTCATCAGCATGCAGAGGGAGGAGTCGCCAAGGTAATGCAAGCAGGAAAGAGGGCTGCAGTTATGAATGAGCACCTGCAGTAGCCAGATTTCCCTATGCCGAGCTCACTCAGGTTGAAGAAGGACAGGCTGTTGTTGACGTATCCCTTTAAGCAACTGCGGGAAGGAAAAGTATTCTTTGAGTCAGAGAGTCATACACGTCCAGTACAATTCCTGCATTACAAATGATAGAGCCTTGCAAACTCCATTATTCCCGCCATTCTAACTATAACATCCTAGCAACTGAGCTTTCTCATTCCATTCCCTGGTTCTCATCATATCTGTATTGTACCTCAGTGAGGCCAACTCTTGCTCTACCCTCTTCTTCCAAGAGCTCTCTCTCCCATTCATTTGAGTTTATACTCATTAAGTAGTTAGTACACACCAGAAATTTAGCTTGCTGCTTCTTACGTATCTCCCCATGATGAATGAAATCTTTATGTACTATAAATTTGTACTAATAAAAAATAACCATTATAGAGTTAAAAATCTATAAATGTGTGTTTTCTAAATATGCATGCATGTAATCCCATTTGGCTGATTATATATACAGTAAATATTATTTATTAACTTCACCAGATGTTTATTGAGCTCTTTCAACTTGTTATTAAAATCCTCAATGCTGATACTCAACAGTAAGCAAAACGGGCAAAAGTCTTTGTCCCTCTCGAGTGCAAGTTCCAGTGTGGAGGGAGGTAAAGTCACAACAAATATGCAATTAAACTCTGGGATTTTATAAGGTGATGATGGCTGTGGATAGAAAAATGAAATAGTTCATCTAGATGGGCTAGAGTAAGTCAGTACTCCTGCAGTAACAAAAATCATGTTTTCAAGACATGCAAGACAGGTGGAAATGAGAGCTAGATGAATAAGAGTTCCAGAAAGAGAAAGTCCCCTGGGTAAACTGGCCATCACTGATGCCCTTCTCCTGGAGGCCGCTGCCTGCAAAGTCAGGGTGAGTATTGGGCCTCGGCTCAGCAGGGCCAGCGCTCTGGCAGGGTGAGGAAACCCATGAGCTCTGTGAGTTATGTGAGCCTGGGATCCAGAGGAGCCCAGAAGCCTGCGTGTTTTCTTCCTGGTGTCCTTAGTAATTTCGTGGGTCACTTGGGAAGCTGAGGACAATAGTCAGGTGAACGTGAAACTTCCAAAAGGCAGAGTGGAGTCTTCCAGGGAGAGAAAGATGCTCACTACCTGCCCTGCTAGAGGGAGGAGCCTGCCCTGCACACTGTCCTGCTCGAGGGCTGAGTCTAAGACCTTCCCAGGGCGGAAGGAGTCCCATGATCAAGTTTAAGACTCTCAAGAGACAGTATCACATACAGACTAATCAAAATTCACTACAGGGAGCAAGAGAAAAATAAAGTGTGTGTTTAAATAAAAAATAATTATTATGTAAATACACATTGCCATTAATTCCCCTAAAAATGCTTTCCTTTGCTTCAAACACACTATTCCATCACACCGGACACTTTCTGAAGCAGTTCTGGAGTCCTCTTTCGTTAGGGTCTCCAGCTGTGCCATTAAGGCTGCCTCCAGGTCCTGGATCAACTCAAAACATTTATCTTCTGTGGATATTTGGACTTTGGGGAGACCAGTAGGTGCACGGCACCAGATCCAGTGAAAGCAGCAGTGGAGGACGCTCTGTCATGTGGCCACAAGCCTCCTTTCTGCTGGATGGCGCTTGGCAGTGAGTCACCCTATTTTTTTTATCACAACCCGTGAAGATGCTAACAAAAGCAGACGTCCAGAACTGCTTTCGAAGCGACAAGATCGATGGGATAAATATGTTTGAAGGCAGGGCAAGTATTTTGAAGCAGATTAGTGGTGATGTGTCTCTTATTTTAAAAAGCTAAATATTTCTGACCCACTTTGACCAGACTTTGTATATTAATGGAAAAAAGGTGGAAAATATATGGTCATATTAGTAAATAAAAATTTGATAAAATGTAACTTCCATTCATGATAAACACCACTCAACAAGCTAAAAATCTGGTAAGATCTTAGTTTGATATAGAATATCTACATACAAGTCTGTGACTAATATCACATTTACTAGAGAGATTCTAAATGGCATATTTAATAGAGAAATTCTAAATACTCTATGTTGAATGTTTCCTTCTTAGCTGAAGAACAAGTCAGATATTTTCACTGTCAACATTTCTATCCAATATAGTCCACACGAGCAGACAAAAAAGATACAAATGGAATTAACAAAAGTAAAGAATATATAAATGTCATTATTGATATATGATGTAATTATGTATATAGAAAGTATAAGATAACCTACAAATTATTTGAATATTGGTTGAAGTTTGCAAAGTTACCTAATAGATACAAAGTCACCTAATAGATACAAAGTCAATATAAAAAATAACCATTTATATGTATTAATAGTAAAGAAATAGGAAAGAAGATTTAAAGAAATACTTTTCATGGTGATATCACAAATACCAAGTATCAGGGCATAAATCTTGGAAGGATGTGTAGAACCTAAAAATAAATTCTCAGAGAAGTAAATGAAGGCTGAAATAAATGGATGGAGTGAACATATTTAAGGATTGTTATTAAAGTATAAATTCTCTCACTTTAAAAATAGTATCTGATAACTGAATCTAGTGTTTATAGGCAAATGAATGGAATCCGTATTAACAAAGTCAATGCTAAAAAGAAAAAGTTGGGAAGATCGTAGCGCTTCATGACTTAATGTAAAGCTACAGTTATTAAGACAGTGTGGTGTTGGTGTAAAGCAGGATAAATCAATGGAAAAGGTGAGCAAGTCCGAATACAGATTCCCCAGACGGACATCCACTTGGCTATGACCCAAATATCACTGCAATGCAATGATGAAAGAATCGCCTTCTCAACAAATGGTGCTGGGGAGGTTGGATTCCTTGAGGAAAATATCGCAACCTCTGACTTCCTCACAACATACTGGACTAAGCTGTGGGGAATTGAGATGGGGGCTAAAGTTCCAACAGAGTAGACCTTGTTCTGCAGGCTCCACACAAGGGAAGGCTCGGCTTGTGGGAGGGGGCTGTGGGGTCGTCCACGGTAGCCGGCTCAGGGAGAAAGGGCAGAGTCCTCCAGACTCGTCAGCAGGGCCTACAGAGTCAGAGTGACTGAGACAAAGCAAGAGTAACAGGAGGCAAGTGTACAGATGAAGCACCATGTGTGGGCTTGATGGGGTGATCACATGACTGGCTTTAAGGCTCTAGTGAAGCTTTCACTTAATCCAGGTTATGACGTCAGTTGCCTGCGGAAGTGGTGTGAAATGGGCATGTTTGCAATATACGGCCAATGTGTTTTCCAATGGATTTTATGGAGTGGGAGAAAAATAAGTCCTCAAGGACGATTCCAAGGATGTTGGCCTGAGCAAGTACAGAATTGCAGCCAACTAATTGCAGGAAGACTGAAATTTGCGAGGGTTTTGTGAGATTTGGTGCGGAATTCTGGACATGGTAAGTTTGCTGTGTCTACTAGAGCTACCATATCAGAGGGATGCTAAGCAAACAGCACAGAAGTGAGATCAGATCCACGTCTGAAAAAGGACAACAGAGGAAATGAAAACTGTATAATAAAGCAAAGTGGTCCATCGATTGAGCTCTTGAAGCACTCCAAAAATTAAGAAGCAAAAAGCTAAGAATTGTAAAAGTGTCTCAGTGTCTCAGCAGGTGAGGGTTGAGGAAAAGAAGATACAAACTTCTCTGAGAAAGAAGAGTACTAAGAAACAAAACAAAACAGAAAAGAATACAAGTGGACTTGAAAAATGCAAACTTTACCAGATCCACTTAAGAAACATGATGAAAATTTGAAGGGAAACTGTTCAGTATGTTGTGTTTTGTTTTTCTTTGTCCACATGTAGCTGCACAAGTGTAGCACAGAGTAGACGAAGCATCTGGAGAACCAAGGATGGGACTCGGCAGGTGGGAGCATGTTGAGGGATGGGACAGGGGCCCAGCATCTGAGGAAGCGGTAACAATAATCGGTCAACTGGTTCTTCAGATGGGGGTAAGCGTGGAAAAGAGGACCTTAGTGGAAAGGGAGACTCAATGGTTTAGGGTTACAGATACCTTGAAAGAAACGTTGGACACGGTAAAAATTACAACTTTAAATTATGTATATTATTATGTCCTTCATATAGATGAAAGGTGTAAAGTTTAGAGAGACTAGGTAACTTTCTCCAGGACTATAGTTCTCAAAATTTTTTGTAAAGGTCTCAGGATTCCTTTACAGTTTTTTTTTTTTAATAAAAATATTGAACATCTGAAGGAGCTTTTCACCATGGTATATTATTGATATTTTAACATGTTAGAAATTAAAACAGAAATTTTAAAAATTTTTATCTATTAATTCATTTAAAAATAGCCATCAAATCCATTATAAATTAATAACTGAAAAAAATAAAATGCCTGTATTTTCCAAAAGAAATTAAAAGTTAGTGAGAATGACATTGTTTTACACGTTTGCAAATCCTTTCAATGTCTGTTTTAATAGAAGACAGCTAGATTCCTGTATTTACTTCTATATTAAATCTACTGCAATATGTTGTTTTGGAAGAAGTGAAAGTAGAAAATCTGGCCTCACATAGATAAACAGTTGGTAAAAGAAGGTCTATTTTACTAGCGTTTCAGATGATTGTGGAAGTTTTACAATGATATTGCACTAAAGATCTCCATGTGGTAGTTTTTAAACTTTAGTTGTAATGTGAGATCTCATTTCATTATCAAGGAAGTTGTCACACACTTATGTTAAAATCCATAGGGCTATTTTGTATTGCAAAAATCATCTTTAATCCATATGGATAGTTTTATAACATCAAATATGGGTCATTTGGAAAACATTTATTCCCTGAATTATTCAGAACTTCCAAATACTGATATTTTACCATCAATTATGAAAAAAAATCACAATTATTAATATCACTATTTTTTTTATCAGAAGACAATCTGTGAGAACTCAGAAATGCCACACTCACAGTGGCAAATAAAAGTTATCCACAATTATAATTTTCATTCCAAAGTTTGTACTGTAAGAGCAACAAATAATGACCTATATTCTCCTCAACACGACATGCTAGTTTTGCGCATTTTGTAAAAGAGTAGCTGCTAAATCCTGAAGTCTGAATAATCAGTTTGGCAATCATTCATTCATGTTGGAAAAGTTTTTCCTCAGTTTGCAACTTCAACAATCACACAGTGCTTTTCTGTGAGACAAACATCCCCCTTCAGTATGTAGCTGAATTTCTTTCTGCAGACTTCACATTTCCTTACACAGAATTTCAAAAGACATTTATTTATTCATGGGTGGAGAGTTCAAAAAATTAATAGTTATTAATGTTTCCTCAAAGGCATTTGGAATTTCTCACTGACATTTCTAAGACAGATAGATGGTGATGAAAAATACAATCATGACTAAAATTGCTTGGTGCTAATACCTCGAGTTACACAAAGCCACCAGAAATTGTACCCAGAAATTGTTTTTGCAGCATGAATGCAAATGTCAATACATAAAAGTGGAAATAATATCTTGGTGTCATAGTGAAAATAGTATTGACTTGTGGGTCCCTGAGGGAGGTTGCACACCACATGGGATGAACCACTGTCCCAGGGCACACAGTTCTAGAAGCCAGACTCAAACACATGTCCACCACATTCCAGAACTTGAAGTGATATTTCCAGCATCCCTCTGAATTCACCTTGTTCTTGCTCATCCTAGATTTCATCATTTGTCCTTTCTACTACTCTCCTGCCAGCATCTCTCTCCTCTGCCGTCTTCTCCAACTGCTTCTTTGCTCTGAACATTTTTAATTGGAATGAATCTATTCCAATGTAGCTGCTAAGCATACTTGGAAAATATTAAATAATGACGCACCTCTGGTGTGTGAGCCCCCTGCGACTTTGTTCGAAATCAGTCCATAGCCCTAGTCACTTGCTGAGGAGGAGTCAGTGCTACTTGAAAGGTTCTGAAAAGGAAATGCTCAGCCAATGTTATTTTCTCCCGTCACTAGATGGCAGCAAGGACACTAGCAAATAGGACTTCCATCTCAAATTCTTAAAATCTGCTTCTAGACCATCCTCAACTAAGAAACATATTTTTTGGTTTTACACTATTCATACTGAAGTGACTCTACATCTACAAAGTGCGTTACAGTCCTGGGCGCTCTCAGGCACGTTCTCTTACTCATGGGACACGCGACCATTGTGTGTTATATGCCAACTACGGACTGATAGGCCATGTGTCTTTAACCAAAAGGCACAGTTAGAAGCCCAACCTCCAGTGTTAACTTCAAGTTAAAATTATATGAAGACTCCAAGATATATAATAAAACAATGCCCGTAACTTTAGAATCTCTCCCTGGAAAACAATAAGACGTTGCTGTTGAGAGGTACTTTTGCGTTCTGAGAAGCTCTGAGCTCATCTGCAGTGAAGGTTCATCTCATGCTAAACTGAGGCACACTCTCTTGTGGGTCAGGCCTGTGACCGGGGAGTTCACCAGCCCTGAGGTGCGCCTGAGAGGAAGAGAAGCAGGTTCCCTCCACAGTCCTGCTCCTGTCACAGCTGTGCCACACCCAAAGCTGATTTCCACCGCAGCACTTTAGGCTCCTGCACTCCCTCTCTGCCCTCCACACACAGTGCCACTCGGATCTTCCCCATGCCCAAATTTCAATAAGGAAACAGCTGAAATAACCCTATCACCCAAACCATTGGCTCCACACCAGGTGACTCTGGCCCTCAGGGGATATCTGGCAAGATCTGCAGATGCCTTTGGCTCTTCTCACTTGGGAAACACAGCACTTGACAGGGGCACCCATCTGGCAAAGGTCAGGAACTGTGCTACTCACCCAGCAATGTGAAAATACAGTCCCTTACCTCCTCAAAGAGTTTCGGTTTCCAACTTCGATAGTACAGAAGTTGAGAAGCCTTTCTTTGATGTACAGATTTAAATTTTAACAGAAAATACATGTCAGGCAGGTTGAGGGCAAGGTTTTCTGTGTCCTCAAGTCCTAGCTATAAATTATTTTTCAAACTCTGACGGCACCTGGATTCTCTTGAGGCTCCTTATCTACCCACAGACGCCCTTTCTTCCTTTTGGCAATTTGATTAAGCACGCAGGTTGTGATGTCTCCATCTGCACAGTAAGAAAACTACCCTAGATGATTTCTGAGGTCTCTCCCTGTTGTAGAATTTGAGGTCTAACTACAGTATAGTGTGCTTAGCATTTTGATAGCAGTGACACATTTTCAAATAAAAAACAAAACTCTACAATTGTTTCCTGCAAAAATACTGTTGCCTTCCTCCCCTCACTTGATTCCCACTACTACGCTCATTATGAATGCGAGGAACATTACCTTTAATAGCCACAGAACAAAACTTCCCAATAAATTCTCATTTTAATTACAAATGGAAAGTGGATCAAGGAAATGTGTAAATTTCAACCTTACTTTTCGTTCTGTTCTACACGATTTGCACACGGGCCGTATTTGTATTCATAGACAAAACGTGGGATGTAGTCAGAGGTAATAGCAATGACGAATGCATTGGTGATCACAGCCAATATGCCAATTCCTTCCAGAATGCCAAGCCAGATACCTGGTAGGAGAAAGATTAAAGACAGTGAATAGAAATGAAAACCCTTTGATCAATTTTATTTTGCAAAGAGCGTTCTACTTATGTTGGAGCCAAAGCTGTGACCATTGTTTGCTTCCTCAGTAAGTCTGATTCTGGGTATTCCAGCTGTTGCATATTCTCTTCTCTCGAAGGAAGAGAAAGGTTTGTCCCTGTCCAGAAAGGTTTGCAAGTCGTTAGGACCAGGTCTAGCTTGTCACAATGACACCTGCATGAGTGTCTGAAATATTCCAAAGCCTTGTATGTAGAACTTGCTGATGCAACAAGAATAATACATTTTTTCCTTCTTAAAACATCAATATGGTACCATACAGACAGACAGAAAGCTTTTGGAGTTGTGTATAGAATTAATATTATTGATCATAGCCAAAACTAATGTTTCAATTAGGTTTAAACACAGCCTCAAAAGTATTGATAAAAAAATTCTGGAGAAAAGACCCAAATGTGCTAAAGGGGATTGCATAGTACAGCAGCTTTCTTCTCTCCTCGCCTGTCTTTGAAATTCTTTATAATGGACCTACAACAAGTGGCAATTAAAATAATAAAATAAAAAAGATTTTGAGGTTTACCCAGTGACATAAGATAAATCAGAATTCACACAAACCAATATGGAGAGCATCAAAAATAAACACTTATTTTTATAAAAGCTGTAATACTCTGTTAAAAATATAGCCAAGGAAAAAAATATCTCCTATATAAAAGATCCTAAAATGTTAATGAGACAATTCATAGAAGAAATCAATAGAGTGGAAATGTGCCATTTGGTGTGGAAATGCAAATAACCAATAAGGACAGTAAAAAGTTTTTGACCTCTATTTATTCAGAGAAACGTCCTTCAAAAAAGCTTTTTAAAAATACGATAGATATTTAGAACTATATAAATCTAGTGTTATTTAGAAATAGTGAAAACACATTCTTTTATATTATTGAAATGACATCTTTTAAAATTAAAATGTGTGTGTTAGTCCAGTAGGCCTATGTTCAGCGATTTATACTACAGATACACTGCCTGTACACACATGTATACAGACATATAACAAATATGTAACATTTATGCCTGAGTTTATAACCATCTTTGTGTATGTTTATTACTACTTGTGGGGGGAAAATAAAATCAGTAAGTGATTATAAAGTTTGTCCTGTATCTGCACTTGTGTATTACTATTCTATTAAAATGAATTAGACTAGTACATTCGGAGATGGGCAATGTCTATGAAGAAAAGTTAGAGAGTCCTTCATATTTACACAGATATATTTTTCTTTTTTAGTATGAATAAGGATTGACAAAGTATGGATGTCAAAACACATGCAATAATTACCTGCTAGATATAGAGACAGAGATATATATAGTACATATTTATGAAGTACCAAGTTTAATACTCTTGCAATTAAATTTGTATTCATTTTGCTTTTTTGCTAACTAATCTGTTTTGCTAAGGTTGGAAGGAGCCCCCTGTAGAAGCTCACATGAGGCCAAGTATCCTCAAGCCGTGTGGTCCCAATTCATTTGTGCTGCTATAACAAGACACCTGAGGTGGGGTGACTTTAAGGAGCAGAAATCTGTTTCTCACTGTTCTGTGGGTCGAGAATCCAGGACTGGGTACCAGTATGTTGGGTGCTGGGGAAGTGCCCACTGCCCACTTCCTGGCGCCTGTTAGATTCCCTTGCCAGATAGATTCTGTCCCTGAGTGGTGGGACAACAGGCGAGAATGAGTCCTGTCCTCCCTTGCTCTCACAGGTGTCCGTACACTCTGGCCCCATCTCAACCCCTGCTTCAGGTCGCCCCTCCTAACACTACCGTGTAGCAGCAGAGGAGTCCCCTGCTCGCCCCTGGACACCAGCGATGCGATGCCAACACCACCTCAATCGGGAGTCTCACCTATGTCAGTTGCTCGGGCCGGCAGTGGTCTCCGCCACTGCGTGACAAACTTGTACGCATCCAGCCTGATTTCGATGATGTTGTTTAGCAAAGCCAGAAGAGGGGCCAGCGGAAAGGCTGCCACAAAGATGGTGGTAAAGCCGAACTGCAAAACTGTGGAGGGAGAGCACCAGACAGTTGACGATGCAGATGGTAGCACTGACTGTGGGCTTCGTTGTGGCTCGTTAGGAGATTTATAGAAATGGCTTTGCATCCTTTTGCTATCCCTACAAAGTAAATGTGCTTATCTCCTTTCATCATTGAGAAAACTTTAGCTCATCTGCATTAAGAATTTTCCTGAAGATACAGGTAGACAGTATTAAAAGCTGTGTTCAAAATCAGATCTAAACGGACTTAAATTCTATGTGCTTTCCACCATTACGTAAAGAGCCATGAAGGGAGGGAAAAGAAGACAAAGGAAAAGGAAAAGGAAGACAGAGGAGGAAGAGAGGAAGGAGGAGGAGGAAGGAGAGGAGGACCAGTAGGAGCAGGAGGGCTGGGGATGTAGCTCAGTGGTTCCACCACCTGCCTCACAAGCGCGAGGTCCCAAGTTCCATCCCTGGTACCAAAAGAGAAAAAAAAAAACAAGAGGTGGAGGAGGCAGAAGGAGAAAGGGAGGCAGCAAAGAGGAGGCCCCAAGGGAAGCAGCTGGCTCGGGAGGCAACTCAGGAGCCCGGTAATCTCTCCCCTCTTTTACAGATGAGAAAACTGGAGTCCAGAGAAGCATGGTGTTTAACATGCAGTGAGTCTAATGGTTGGAAAGGGAACCTTTATTTCCTTAATGTAGATAAAAAAGATTCTTCAAACTAAGATCAGGCTGAACCTAAGCAAAATTTACTGTGAAAAATAATCATTGTTTTCTTTGCACTGGTTGGCATATCTCTTCACAAAGGAATTGTAGGGCTTTAGTTTGTTTCATCAAAATGCTCAAAAGCTAGGGCTCCGCTGGGAGGAAAGCCTTTATTTGGGTCAAATGTTGCAGCTCTCAGAGGCTGAGGTGTGTGAGCCTCCTACGCTCCCGCTTCACACCTCTGTTCCCCTGAGATACAAGTGCAGATGTCTTTCAAAACACTTTAGATGCTTTTAGAAATCTTTAGAGTGGTGGTTTTCTCTGTAGAAGCAAAGCCCATGTGGAATACACAAACAGCATGAAGCAGGCCCTGGCCTGGCCATATGTTCTTTCCTCACCCATCTCCAAGTACTCATCCATCAGTCCATGGATATTCATGGGCTGCAGATTCCAGTCGTTTTCCCACTGAGGTATGGAAGCATCCTGGACTCCACGCTTGATTTTATGTCGCGACCACCAGTTCTGGATCAACCTACACCACAGGGCAGAACAAGGACTTTTGAGCTCTTGCTTAAACAGCTGGTGAACAGTTTATGGTTCACAAAGAGGTAGGAAACACCAAGTACTCCTGGACTACATTATGTCTTCCCAGGAATTGGAGACATTTGATGCCTCTCCTACTTTTTGGAGATTGGCCCTTGGTGTGGGACCCACACTACATGGCAGATGTGACCCTGGAGGCCCCTTGAGTGAGGCCATGGCGCAAATGCATGGAGAGCCTCATGCCTGCTGGATCCCACAGATAAGACAGGCTGAGCATCATTCCTGGAGGAATGGCTAAGCCATCCTGATGTGCTTAGGAAGCCGGGGAGGGAGCTCTGTGGAGAGCACTTGCCTGGCATTCAAGGGGCGCTAGGTTCAACCCTAGTATCCAGTAGAACACACACTGTGTTTATTACACACTCCGTTCATGGGTCTGTGCTGAGCACTCGACACCTAACTTCTCAGGTGCCCTCACGGTGCTCCGCAAACTGTATGTTCTGAAGCTGTCAGCCCAGCACAGCAAAGGGGGTCACAAGAGAGTTGGGGTCCCCGATCCACCATCCCCTATTCTCTCTTCATTTAGAAGAGACTCACTATAATCTGTTTCGCATACTGTGGATCTGTATGAAGATGTCTTCACAAAAAGTTCTGCCATTTGTGATTAACATTTAATATTCATTGGATCATCTCATTTAATTTTCCCAAATCTCCTGATTCACAAATGAAAAAAAGAGAACCTTGGAGAAGTGAAATGCATTTTAGGCAAAACTAGCAAGAAACAGAGAAGGAATTAGAACCAGGTCTGGGTAATTCCATATCCATGCCCCCAGACTGCTGTCATTTAACCATACTCTGTGGCAGGTTTCAGGGTTAATATCACTTTTCCAGCCCCATAGTTTCTGCTCAGAAATACCCTAGTATAATTTGTCCACCAGCAGGGACAAAGAATCACGTAAAAGTTACTGTTTAAGCCTAAGATATTTATATCATCAGTCAACTAATCAATTCTTCTATAATCAAGAAATTACTCAAAATAATCTCATTGAAACCTTCGGTTAATTAGGTCTCAAAGGTTCAATAATACTTTGTTTTAAATACCTTGTATCTAACTGCATTTTGATGGAAAGTATATTACAGTGTCTAAAACTGGGCATTTTAACATCTCTGTCAGCATTATCAAAAGGACAAATATAGAATACTATTATTGCAATATTGTCACAATTAATAATCTTCTACTAATTGTAGGGGAGTGGGAGGTGTTGTCAAAGAATACCCAACCTCCTCTCACCCGGGCTTTATCTTTGATGTGTTCTGCCCAAGAGACAGAGGCTGTCATTTTCTAACAACCACAGCCACTTTGGTCTGCTGATGGCTCAAAGAAAGCAGAAAATTATTTTTATTCTCAAGAACCAGTATTATCAAGGTTATCCTGGGCGTGGCGGTGCAAACCTGTGATCCCAGCACTGGGAGGGTGAGGCAGGAGGATCCGCATGAGTTAGAGGCCAGCCTGGGCTACACAGTGAGTTGGAGGGCAGCCTGAACTAACAGGGAGACCTTGTCTCAAAGAATAAATAAAGAAAGAAATAAAATCACTTCTCGGCCTTTTGGCTAAGATCAAGTGTCGTGTCAGTATTGTCAACGTTTTGGAAATAACAGTAAGTGTGAATGTGTTAAACAGCATCTATTATTTCCTTTAATCCCTTCGATTATTCTTGAGGGTCAGTGAGGTTTACTAACTCCAGGCACCTGCTCAGCAAGGAGGAGAAAGGAAGTGAACCCTCACGTGTCTGATCTCCAGTCTAAACTCCAACCCCCCGCCTGTGCCTCTGCCTTTTATCCTCGTAACTGCACCTAAGGTAAGTTTGAAAAGGACAAGCTCACGGGTATCCCAGCTCCATGAAGTTGTTCCAGATTTGCTTCAGGAACATGATGACTCCCATCTGCAGGCAGAGGTCTATCAGGCAGCCGCTGGGGTGACACTGAAACAGAGCAGGATGGGCAGTGAAGGTCTCACTCCTCTTCCCAGCAGCTCCAGACTTCTCACCTTCGTATTCTACAGTCAGCTCTACAACTGGGCCACACTCTCTGATGGGTGCAGGGGAAAAACAAGCAAGAAATGGAATCGTGGGGAATTTCTCATGGATTCTAATGGGATATTGATAAAAATTATACTGGCAAGAACAAGAAATCTAACTTTCAATGACCACTTACAATTTGCCAGACCTGATCCCATTTAATGAATGCTACAGAATAGTAAATATCTGTTGACAGTTAGGTAGTAGAAGAATAACTTCACTTTGCATTCATTTTCCACGTGTCCCTAGCTTTCTCTGGTCTGAACAGTTTTCCATACCCTCGGCAGCTCTGCAGACAGCTGGATGCATGGACATCCTGTCTCCTGTCACCCAGTCTGGGTTCATCTAATGTTTTCCTGAGGTTAAAACTGGGGCTCTTCATTTTGGGAGGCAGATCTCAGAGGTAAAGTAGCATTTTCACCAGATCCGAGGGAGTGGCATTCTAGTAGAATGCTGCTGGAGGTTAACCTTCAATATCTGGATGATGTTGTGTTTTTCAGGTATTTTCACTGAAAAGTTATTCAGTTTTCTATTTTTCTTTTCTATCTTTAGGAGCCAGGAAATTTTTAAAATCTACCACTCGGAAAGTAAATATCTACATACATTCATGTATATTTAAATGAGAAATTCCAGCCACAAAATAGTTTTTCGTATGACTCTATTCTTTTCTGTAAGCCTCCGCTTTTTTTAGATTTTCAATAAGTTAGTGTCTCACACACACACTCACACACACATGGGATTTCAATAAAAAGCATAACCAATATGTTTTACTTAAGAATTTGCACTGTAAAAACTATTTCTGTGGGGAAGCGTAGGCTTAGAAACTGGTTCATGTCCTGCTCATGAAGATGGTAGTCTGTACAGCTTTGATCTACAGTTTTTATTTCTATCAAATTAGTACTAGTGGGACTTCAAAAGGAACAAATTATGAGCACACAAAATACTTTACATGTCCTGTTCCAGCCCAATGACTTAACACTCTCAAATCTAAGCCAGAGGGAGAATTCGCTAGTGGTCATGCTTCTTGCGTAGAGAGGTCTGAATTTTCCCCTCTTCCTCTTAGGATGAATTCAGCACCCCCTTATCTCTGCCTCTATGGCCCATAACTGTATTTACTGGAAGGTCGGAAGATGAATAATTACTAAGGCACAGTGGCAGATAATGGATCACTGCTTCAAATTGAAGTGCTTCACTTTTGTAGAGAAACTTAGAGGCAGCTTGATCTGTACAAGGTCACACAGTGTCAGCTGGCCCCGTGGGAGGAGGCCGTGTCCCTGCCCCCTCTCGCCGCTCTTCGGCACCACGCTCAGGAGAAGTTCTGCTTATGGACTGTGTGTGATGCCTTGAAGTGTTGGCCTAGCCCAAGTCCCTTACTATAAGGGACAGGGAAAGAGGACAGTCATGGAGCTGCGAGGCTGGGCCATTCCCCACAAAGGACAAGCTGAGTGGGGAGGCTGGAGGACAGGTTATTTATGGCCTTGCTGAAACTGGCCTTGATAAATTCATGATTTATAGGGAAAAGAAAAGATCCAAAGGTTTTATGTTAGAAGTCTGCCTCCATATAATGACGGCTGAAGGCGCCCCTTCCATTCGCTAAAATTCACTTGGTGAAAACAGCCTGAGTTTAGAAAGCGTGAAAGGGCATGGTGAGTGTGCGGAACACCCCAGCGTTCACTGCAGAGCACCCTGCAGAACTGCACAAGTGTGGGGAGCAGAAGCTGAGTGGCTCCCTGTATCTTTTCACTAACCCTGATGTGGTGGGCGCGGGGACCCCCACTGTGCAGATGCAGAGCCGGAGGTGGACAGGACTCACTCCCACACTCACGATCCGCACTCTACCTACTTCGGTATTTTCTCTCTAAATCCAGCTTACATGTGTGAGCCAGCAACCAGACAACAACAACCTCGTAGCAAAGCAGTTTCACCATGCCCTGCCTTGGGCCTCTGTGCTACCCTGGATGTGGACATGGTGGTGGTGGGGTCTGTGTCAGAACCAGACTCTGAAAGCACACTGCCTCACTACTGGAGCCGTGACTCCACCAACTGTTATAACTGTAGGCAAGTTACATAACTGCTCTATGCTTTTATTTCCACATCTGTAAAATGATTAATGTAATGTTATGAGGCATAAATGAATAAAATATGGAAAGCACTTAATAACAACTCCTGGAGTGTGCTAGCATGTAGTAAGCACTCAATAAGCGTTAGCCATTATTTAAACTTTTTTTTGTACTGGAGATCGAACTCAGGACCTTGCATTTTTGAGGCAGGCATGGAGCCACTGAGCTAAATCCCTGGCCCTTTTGAAACATTTTTGATATTGAATTTATGCAAAATCTTTTTGTGAGACCTCATATAGTTAATAGTACAAGATTCACAAGTCCAGTTTGTATGCTCTAACACAATCGCAGCACTTTTTCTTTATAAAGAATATCCTTAATTGTGCCTAATATTCTACAGCACAATTCAATTTAATCAGCACTCATCAATACTGAGATAACTACTTTTGTCAGCAGTTTACAAAAGGAAGAACTGAAATTTATAGGCAACAGGGTCTTGCCTCTGAGTGGGAAAGGATTAGAATGTAGATTATCAGAATACAAGGAGAAAATATGCATTGTGTTTCCTGGTTATGTCTTCTTTTTGAACACTATTAATGTCATCAGAGGAGGGAAAGGGACCACCTCATTTTTACTGCCCATATTGTCCACTAGAGGCCTGGCATAGAGCATAGATATTTGGTCGATAGATATTTGGTGTATAAATGAATTCAAATGACCAATCCTTATATACAGGCAGCACGATTGAAAAACCAGTGAATATTTAAAATTTTTTAAATTATTACAGTATAGGAATCATTTCTCCTCAAAATTAATTAATCCTCCTCAAAATACTCCCCCTCTTCAAAAACTCCCCCTCCCTTCAAACACACACTTGTTCCATAATTCTCGACACTTCCTGAAGCAGTTCTGGAAGCCCTTTTTTGTGTCTTTGCAAGAGCGGTGAAAAACGTGGCAACTGCTGCTGCTGAGCGCCATCCAACTGAAAGGCAGCTTGCGCAACCATGACAGTGTGTCCTCATCCACCCCAGTCACCCTCTACAGCTCTGGCGCCTGGCGATTACTAGTTCTTCCCTAGTGTCAAAATGACCATGAAAGGTGAACATTTCAAACTGATTCAGGACATTGAGACACCCAGGATGGCACAACTAAAGAAGCCCGTGAAAGAGGACTTCCAGAGCTGCTTCACGAAGTGACAAGAAGGAAGGGATAAGTGTGTTCAAAGCGAGGGAGGGTCACGAGAGGAGGATGAATGGTAAAGTATACTGTACTGGAACAAAATTTGAAAGCATTCACTGCAGTTTTTAATCACACCTCAAGGTTTCTATATCTACACTCAGGATTTCTAGAGTAAATCACAAACCTACATTTATTATTTCACTTATTTTTTATTGGGAAATATGACCACTACATGTCTCAGACACTACAGAAAACTTCTGGGATCTTTAGCAAACATTTCTCTTGACATGAGTATTCATTTTTCTGGGACTTTCAAAGATAAATCAAAGCTTCCAATACCATAATTAAGAATAAGAATATCTAATGAAGCAAAATTATTGGTGATAGTGGCTTCTGAAGTGTCACCAATGTACAAGTACCTGGCTTTAACCACTCTGTCCCCAGGCCCCTAGTCTTTACAGCTCCTGTTGAACACGACTGGGAAAACCAAGCCCTAATTGGGAAGCCCTAATTGATCGCCTTTTAGCAGATGCAGGCAAAATTCTGGGCCACACAAAAAAAAAATGGGACTTGGACATGGGGAGTTCCAAGCAGTTCAGAATTGTGAAAGGTCTTCGTCTGTCTTTAGCCAACAGAATACCCTGGTGGCTATGCAAGCAAAGAGATTTTTATTCTCCATAATTATCAGGAGCAGTTCGTAGCTTGCCCCCTGCAGCCTAAGGAGTGGGCCAACTGCACTGTGGACATCATCTCTGATCTATAAGCAACTTGACCATCTCAGTGTTACTACTGCCAATCGGTGATGAGAAAATAGATCCTCAAGGAAGTTAAATAAAGGACAGGGAATAAGAAGCAAATTTAATTAGCAGGTTAGCCCCGGTTTCTGGTAATAAAGTTGATCTTCTCAGGAAGTTTTAGGCTTTGTCCATGTATTATACTCAGTTTCCAAAATGATCTGGGAAGAAAGCATAAGTGAGGCTACCCTGAGTTTTGAGAGGGATTTTCCAGGGGGACAAGAGGTACCCTGACCAGTTTTCTTGGGGAATCTTTTCTTAGCCATCTCAAAAGTTTGACTTTCTCCCAATAAGACCATGTATTAAATTGGATTTTACAATGGAATCATTAGAATAATTTTGAACCTGAGAAGGCAAAGGCATTCTGATCAGTGAGGAGTCTAGAAATGGACACAATCACAAGATGTAGATTATAATTTCATAATCTTATTTTGCTGAGTAAAAATATTTTTTATTAAATTTGTGACTTCAATTTAGGAAAAAAAAATTTTTGAGACAGAATCTTGCTGTGTAGTGCAGCCTGGCTTTGAACTATCTAGCCCAGGATACTCTTGAACTCATGGTGATCCTCCTGCCTCAGCCTCCCAAGTGCTGGGATTACAGAGATGGGCCACCAGGTCTAGCTCAGAATAAATTCTGATTGGGAAAAATACTACTAATTTTTAAAAGTAACATTAGTAAAAATAAGCACTTTTCTAGCTTATAGAAGTGAGAAGACAATTTAGTGTGATACACACAGAATGATGTTAAGAACAGTGGCATTTTTATTAGAAAATATGATAAAGTTTTGTAAGAAAAAGTATCAAAACAAAACTAAAGGATGGTGAGAAATGGGAAAAATTTGCTGCAACTTTGTAGCATCAAATTCTATGAGTATATACATTAATGAAGCAGAGAGACTGTGGGAGACAAGTGAACACGTGTAGTACACATACTCGCAGAGCAAAATTAAATGTTCGACAGATGTGAAAATATTCAATATCTCATTTAGGGTTCAAGAAACTAAAGAGATGTCTTTTGGCTATTAGATTAGTTAAAAACCATTTCTCTTGGCCAAAGTCAAAGGAAGCAAACTGCTTGGTAGGTCACGGTTGGCCTTTGGGGGACAGGTCCCAGTGTCACAGGCAGCGATGCTGGCCCCTGCACTGCTTCCAGGACCTACAGGTTCTAGATCAGTACCAGCAGATGAGCTATGGCTGATGTACTCATAAGTTTATATGGTGATATTTCAATTAAGATTTCCTCTGGGCTAAAATTTCCCTTCTTAAAAGAAAGTTTGGAGATGCACTGAAAAGTTTAGAGATGCATGCAGTCATTGATAATAATTTGCAAAGTCAAAATCAAAGCAGAGGAGCTATGTTCCCCAGCTATGTAAATGAAAGAAATGGATAGAAAAGTTAATTAAAAAAAAAAAAAAGCTGAGTTCAGAATCTTGGGGTTTATTCTTTTTAAACACTAAAATTTAAAAAATAGATGTAATTGCTTCTTTTGGGAACCCAAAGGAAAGTTTCTCTATCAAAAATGTTTCTTCACCAGACCTGGAGTTTCTACTCTTTCCCCAGCCTGACCTCCCCAGCCATGGGCCTGTGTCTCCTCATCCACACATGCTCCCTCGCAAGGTTACTTACTTCCTCCAGCCTCCACCGGTCAAAAAGTTTATTGTATTTTCCTGGGTGGCCTACAAATCTTTAAAAAAAAAGCATCTTAATTCATTATCAGTTAAAAGAAAAATACCCACTAACCCATCATCCCAAGTGCCCCTGTGGGTGACAAAAATGCTCACTGGTGCAATTTGTCCCCAGAGAGGGCGACTTTCACGATGCTTAGGCAACATCAAAGCACCAGGCTTAGAAAGGAAAATGCAATGCATGAACTCAACCAGTGGGGTTGAGAAAGTACAGACAAAGCAGCCCTAGGAGCCTGAATACTTCCACATGTGCATCTTAATCCCTGGGGGATCAAGTTAATGAATATTACCATAAGGAGCCCAATGGCTTGATTCAAAATGTTTCAGCCTTCAGTGGGTTTCCAAGGCACTGGGTAGAGTGTTAACCATAGAGCAAAACAGATCGATTAAGCTAACATGTTTTTTTTTGTTTCTTTTTCACATTTTACAGCAAAGTGAAAGAAAAGACATAATAATGATGGGTAAAGGTTTCACATTAAGGAATTGTAACACAGGGTTACACACAAATTCTTTTCTTCTCTAACGAAATAATCACTGATAATTGGACGGCAGGGATGCAGGTTTTATTTTTGGTGCCAACTTTAATTGGCTCTGGTTGCCAGTAATCTGAGCAAGAACACACAGGAGAGCTGATTAGCACAGTCTTCCAAGGCCGAGGCCAAGAGTCTGCAGCCTCTGTTCCCTAACTGGCAAGGGAGCTGTCGGCCCTGCTTCTTACTGTGCAAACAGTGTGTGTAGAGCTGACTTACCTCCCCAAAAAGAAGGCAATGTAGAAGATGGAGCTGTTTAAATTGACAAACTGGAAAAGAAACATCTTCAGGGCAAAGCTATTCTCCCATTCCGACTCCGTTCGAGGACATTCTGAAAGGAGCACAGGGTGCTGTACATACAGCAGGTGAACGACCAGAGCTCGGGACATGGAATCGGAAGCCACATGCTAAAGCTTTGCTCTGACTGTTGGTTCCATGAGGCACTTAGGGCTTCTGAGTCCTGCGTCTGGCTCCCTCAGAGCTGCTCCATGCCTATCCTGCTTCCTCAGGGTTTATTCCCAATGCCTCTGTGACAGTACCAACTCCCTCTCCATGTCTGCTTCCTGGGGGACACGATAGATCACACTGCAGAAGTACACTAAGGGTCTTGCATAGCAAATGACAAAGGGCTCTTATCAAACTATATCACTGTGGAATCTCAAAATGAGAAATGATCCAAAGTTAGTTTTGAGAGTAAATGAATGAAAACATCAAAATAGATTGCACGCAAAAGACTGCATGTCAGCAAGGTAGCAGGAATCCAGAAAAGAGTAAAGAAGTTCAAATTTAAAATTCCAAGGGGAAAGTCATTCCCACCTAGAATTCCATATCCAGAAAAACAAGTATAGTATAAAGTACATTTATACAGTACAGTATAAAGACATTTTCAAACATACGAAGAACTTTCAAGACATTTACTTCTTCAGGTAGCAATATAAGGAGTTACAGCAACAAGGGAGGAAGCAGTAACTGGCTAAGACAGAGGGGCGGAAGGGTTTCCCAGGGAGCTTTGACAGCCAGAGCATGATGCATCTAGATTAGAGCAGAGAGAGGACTTGGCAGAGTAACTCGACCAAGAAAATTCAGTGACTAGAATGGTTCACACGTTTTTACAGACTCAGAGGAAATTTAAAGTTTTTCTCACACATTTGGGGTAAATGAAGGGGATTTTGTAAAGCTTGAAGCAAAAATGAACCTTTTTCATGAAAAAATAGAAGTTGTTCTAAAACATAATTATAGTACAATGATACCATGGATGTCCTAGATATGAAAATCATTACATGGACAGAAGGATGTGAACACTAGTTATTAATTAGGTTAAATAGGTAGGTGCAACTACCCATGGAAGGAGAAGAAATAACAGTATGTATCAGACCACAGGAGTGGAGGGGCCAGGGACAGGCACTGTGGAGAGCTGAATCCTCAGGCTCAGTACTTTTATGCCAGGAAGGAAATAAATAGCTCTTCAAAGATAGAAATCCAATGGTAGGAATAGAATCATGTTATTTAGAAACAGGTTGGGAAGTAACATAAGAAGCCCCTAAAAATGTGAAAAGACAGTTCCATTGTGAGCACAGAAAGTAGGAGTGATAATGTGGTAAAGGGTTCATTTTCTTTATTGACCTCTTCGAACTGTTTCGACTTTTAAAACACCTATATGTAATATAATAGTTATAAGACAAACAGCTTAAAAGTTGATGAAAAAAAGAACTCCCAAGGCATGAGAAACAGGTTGCTAGTTGCTAGTTAAGATATTCTGTAACTTTATGCATTGCCTCTCTGTTATTACTCAAGGTTAGCCAACTTCCTATACCACCTCTCATTGTTACTAATAAATTATATAACTAAAGATATTAAAATACTAAGCCCATAAGGTGACTACAGACTGATTTGTCTACTTGTTTTCTTATTAACAAGTGAAGTAAGAAAAATGGACTTACCTAAATTAGTGAGGAGGTAAGCAATTTTTTCATAGGCCTGTAATAAAAAGAAAGAATAGTGAATATTTTTTCTTTTAGAAAAAGTCAATATTTACATTATCAAAGAAAGGCCTAAAGTATGTTCTGCAAAAGTGTGTTCAACAAAGTGGTTACATTTTAAATTAAGTAGAAATATTTATTAAAATTTAGGATGCGGTGCTTTATAGACATATCTATACATATAAAATGGACATAATATAAATTTGTATGGCAGTATATGCAAATAAAATTTGTTATCTGCAATAATAACTTTCTTGTAGTTAACTTTACTTCTGTTTTATAATCTACTTTCTAAATCAGAAAAAAGCCAACAGAAGCTTTTCGGTTAGTTAATGGATGAGCTAAATTGGATCGTAAAATTCTAGTGTCTTTTTGACACATGGGAAGAGGAAGTGGGAATGTGAATTTTCTACTATTCATAAAGAATTTTCCAAACTATGACAAAAAACAATGTGCTGGCTTACATTTTTAAAGAAAAATTGTCTTGGTGGTTATTTAAGAGAAACTAGGTCAAAACTGTTCAATATGTAAGTCACTTGTAAAATAGATTTTTCTGATAATAGTTTTCATCTTCTTTCAACCTGTTCGCTTCCCTCATATAGTCTGATCATCATTTATATAGACTTGAGTAAATGACATAAATTTTAAAGTATTCTAAGTAAATATAGTTGGAAAAGCGTATTTGTTCCAGACATAAGGGTGATATATGTTTGTGATATATACATATATATGCGTGTGAATATGAATACATACCTACAATTCAGTAAATTACTGTTTAGAATAATAATTCCAATAACCCTGTCTGTTGGCATGCAAAATTAAAAGATACATATCTCCTCACTTTAAAAGTTGATGACATTCTCTGAGAGTCCTTAAAATAGAACTACTGTGATAATCTGGCTCAGCCATGATTCCAACCTACCTCTTTCTAAGATATAAAATATTCTTGAGACAGAAAGATTCTGCTGAGCACAACAACAGTTGGATAAATTCCCCAGGGCAGGTTTTGCTTATCTGCTTGCTTATTTTACTGTACTCACAAGCTGCTTTCTAATTCTAAGACGAGGTTACCTGGAACTCATGAGCACCAAGGTTGCTCTTTCTGCAGCCTGTTCTTCCCTGCCTCATGTAGCCAGTAAGATAACCACAGCAGGGTCTCCTAGCGGGATGGGCTTCATCACCCAGCACATAGTACTCAGCAGCAACTGTGCCTCCATCACTGATATGACCACTCATGGAGGCTGAAAGTTAAATCTGCCTGAATAATTGCCATTTAGAGTATAGTGATTGTGCCCAACAGTGATTTCCATATATTCTTAGTCCTGAGCAACAATGCCAAGTAGGTACAATGATCCTTGTACTACAAAACAGCGAACTAAGGCTCAGAGCGTCAGGCACCCAGGCTGACACAACACTGCTAAGCAAGTGGCAGAGTTAGGACATGCTGTCACGGCTCTCTTGCACTATCCTGTGCTTTGTCACATGTCAAGATTTTTACCTTAATACTTAGTAGCACATGGAGCCTTTTTTGCAAGCCTAGGATGGAAATACCTGCAGCTGGGTAGAGTACAAGAACCTGCAGAGGAATGTTACGAATCACAGCAATGGTGGCACTGCAGTACGGAGGCTTTCTGGGGATAGTTAAGAACCTGTTTCATCCAAAGCCCAGATGGAATGGCTGATTGGCAGCACCATGACGATGCACTACACAATCAGTCCATGCAGACTGACCTGTAAACTCCACAACTACAAAGCGTAGAAACCATGATTTGAAAATGTGCCCAGTTTGGTGTACGGTGGCAGTGACTCTGGCCGGGCGGTGGGGGGCTGTGTGTTTGGGTGAGGGGAGCCAGGAAGGGTGGTACAGGGATCGAACGATAGTTATCCAAGCTGACACTCTCTCTGCTGGGACAATGGGACTTAAACTCCAGTGGGCAGAGACAAATGGCAACAAATATGTCCTTGGTCAGGAGGTAAAAGGTTTATGAAGAAGAACAAAGCAGGCTGGAGTGCACTGCTGGGGAGAGAATGACTCTCTTGGGGAGAAAGAGCCCCCTTTGTAAGGGTGACAATGAAGCAGAGATGTGAAGTGAGAGAGAGGGAGCCAAGCTACAGTCTGGGCTGAGCTCCCCTGAGATACAGAAACATGGTTGAAATGCCCCAAGGGCAGCATGGACTCCATGTGCTTCCTGATGAGCAGAGAAGTTAGAAGGGCAGGGGTGGGGTCATAAGCAAGCACAGTCATAGAGAGGAGGCAGAAAGGCCTCAGAGGGGGACATCTTCTTGGGGACAGCTGGCCACGGTGAGTACCTCAGAACTCACTCTGAGCTTAGACATCACCAGCTCCCCCAGTGCCTTGGTGAAGTTCGATGCCAGAATCACCTGGGCAGGAAAGCGCAGCAAGTGCAGGGAAAGCAGCTTGGAGCTCTGCGGGGCTCAGTGCACTTCATTCTGAGTTGGAGCCCCACAGTGCAGACTTCACTGTGACAATAAACCCAGGCTTCTACAGAAGGGAACAGACTGCTCTTTCCCAGCTATCCGCCCTCTGAATTTCTACAAATCAGGCACAGATATTTGCACAAACCAAACCAATACATTTTTACAAAGCTAAACTTCCTATTAAATGAGTCATTTGGCATGAAGCCCTTTGTTGGTTAAACCCTGTGATCCAAACCTTCGATCCACCCCATGCTATAAGAAATTGTGTGCATCATATCTGGTAACCAAGAGTAGCCAGGTGTTAGGAAAGGTAAGGCTATTCTGAGGTTTTATGATCATGTCAGGAAAAGGGAACAGAAATGGAGACATGGAAATGAACCAACAATGGGGAAGACCAGAACCAGCGTGGAGTACTCACAATACCCACCTATTGTGAGTGATTTCTCTTCTTTTTTGGTTATGGTGTACTCTGTGTACAGTAAATGGATCTTGCCAAAAGAGAGGAGCAATTTTAGAGAGGAGTTCATTCTTTTATTGACTATGCTATAAAGGTTTAACTGGCCCAATCCTAGACAAACTATCAGAGTATTTCTCAGATATTTCTATTTTTCTCTTAAAAATTATCCACTAGTGATGCCAGACAGCTGTCCTCCTGTTGTAATATGACAAAATGAGTTTAAAAATTGATTGTCAAGCAACAAAAATACATATTTTTGGAATAAATTCACATTTTTCATTTTCATTAAACTATCTTTGGAAATAGTCCCTGACATGATAGCCACATGGCACTTATGGTATCTAGAAGTAGCAGTATACTTTCAAGGGAATGAAAAATACAGAAGAAAAAGTACGAGATTGAAAAAGATCAACTCTTAGTTTCAAATTCTACCACTGCAGCATTTTAGCTAGATATTTGGCAGGAGGACATTAAAAATAATAAATTAAAGTTTTTAATTATTGTTAAATTATTTGCAATTTAGTTTTAGAAGTTGTGGTTTCTGATCTTGGCCATGTATCAAAATTCCCTGAGATACCTTAAATCAATAATTTCTAATACTATTTTAGGTATGGCTGGATCAGGATCACCACAGAACTTTTTGGTATTTTGTCTCAAATACATTTATTTTTAGCCCTACAAAGAAGATTTTTAATGGAAATCAGGAATCTGTAGTTTTTAAAGTGTTGCAAAAATTTTGATATAAGAAGATATGTTATATGATAAATTATTTGATATATGAAAAACTTTAAAAATTATGTTCACAATCTATACAATAGACTTGTAATCACATTTTTATTATATTGGTCCATATATTTCTTCTCTGTTGAATATTTATTTAGAGTTTCCATGATCTACCTGTTTTGAAAGATTTAGAGAATGAATAGTCTTTGGTTCTTAGTTTGAATTAAAGTAAGTATTGTGTGCTTGAAAGACACTGAAAGTACAGTTCTAATAACACAAAATAAGTTGATCACATGCCATATGAAAGATGTCAGCACATTGGAGGAATAGGATATTTCAAATCTGATCCAAGGATCAATGCCTTTCAGATTCTAAGTCAGGACCTGGAGGTCCAAAATCAAGGAAGCCAGAGAAGCCCTGTTCATTTGTGTTCAGCACTTTGGCAGTGGGAAGAGGTCCAACAGTGAGGGCCAGGGAAGAATGCTCACAAAGGGCTTGACCAATTCCCGGAGGAGCCTTGCGCTGCTGTTAAAACAGGCAGATTACTCAACTCTTCATGCAGACTGAGAAAAAGGTCTGTGGAGAGAGGATCCATCAGCAACCAGCATTTTCAAAGATGAAAAGATATTCTTCAAGGAAACAAGAGAAAAAGGGACTTTTCAGACATTTCAGCAGCCCCGTGACCCCCACACAGAGGCGTGAACTGGGAAAGCGGCAGAGGGCAGAGGCAGAGTTCTTTTGGCGGGAGTGAGCAGAGAAAAGAAGCTGGCTTTAAACTATTCCCCACCCCAGGGCGGACAGGTGAATGAGTTTAGGATTCATACCTGAGTCCTGGAAAACCATGGCACTGTTTCAAGGACAAATTAAAGTCCTCAAAAAGTACAATTTCGACACATCCTGTCAAAAGTCATGTGTGAGGGAGATAAAAATTAGAGAAGAAACAGGAAAACCATCAAGTTAGAAGGTCATGCAATAGTTCAAGCAAAATGAAATGACCAGCTCAACTAAGGAAGCATGCGTAAGAGTGTGAGCAGGTAATGGGTAGGAGAGCCATCTCAGAGTTAAAAATTCACAACTATTAGTCACTGATAAGATGAAAGAATTGCATGGAGGATAGGATAAGGCACTTGGCTGTATATATTTTATGTCCTGATTTATGGAAAATATCTGACTGAAACCATTTTACCACATTTTATAACATAATGCACCTGGGTTAGAGTGGAGACACACAGTCATAGAATATTTTGATCACAAGTCTTTCATTTGGAAAGACTGGTGGTGTAGGGATTCTAAGCTCCAGTTACTGAGAAACAAAACTCATTTTTATTAGCTGTATATTCAGTTTTGTCCTGAAAGTAACATAACAACTGGAGCTTTTGGTTTTTCTAGATGAATAGTTCAGTGGTGTAATCTTGGACATTTCAATCTGTCTTTATTTGGCTAAGCTCTCACAGTACCAGGTGAGTCCATGTGAAGCATAAGAGATGTGTAATAATTTGTGAAGTACCTTAACATCCTCAGTAGGAAAGAAATGCATACATTTAGAAGAGTAGTATTATTTTTACACTGATTAAAAATGAATATAACATTCTTTCACATAGACCGAGTTGGCTGCATATTCGCTCCTTTATGCTAAATGTTTAAAAAATCATCTCCTAAGTCCAACAGTCCATGAATCTTTATGCCAAAATAGAAACAAACATTTAGAAAAAGCAGTCAGCTCAGATTCTCCCAGGAACCATGGACATTTGTTGTGTAACACTAACAGCAACACTGAGTTGTGTAGAGCCAGTGGGATTCTGAGGAACTCCAAAGACTGTTTTGATAATTCAAATAATGTTATGTTCACCTGCCTTCAGAGGTCTTCCAGCTACAAGTAGAGATTTGTAGCCTTTGCTTTCTGTAGAATTAAGGGGTTTGGAGGGGAGAATTCATTGAGCCTCAACAAACACACACATCTGCTTAGTAAGAACAAGTTGGATATAAACCTTCTGAGAGAGGGGAAAATCTAGAGGTATGAGAGCCAATTATGATTGTAGCTAAAGGGTGGTAACTCAGGACAGGGGCTGGAAGTAGAGCAGAGCCTGTGTTTAAGAGATTGGTGATTAAATCACAACCAGAATAATACAAAATTAGAGCCTAATATAGCAATGGAAAGTCACCTTATTTTAATTTCCTCAATATGTGTGACAAGAGAAGGAAGCCTTTTGGAAAAAATATGTCTTGGCGTAAAGCTCAAATGCAGGCTCCGAATCATGAATTTGGACCCACGAATCCTTCAGCTTCCCCGAGGGATGATGATTTCTGCAGGTGGGGACAAAGCACTGAACACTGGACATGGAGTGTCTGTTCCCAGGCCGTCATGCTTGCTTCCCCAAGCACAAATTAATTAAATGCACTTGGTTCTTCATTTTCCCTGTCTGGAACAGTCCCTATCTTTGGAACTGTTAGGTCAGTTCAGTAGCTTTGCTCAAGATGTTTTTGAAGATGAATAGCCTTGGGGACAAACTGCCAAACAAAGGCTCAGGCGGCGCTCTGTGGAATGTGGGGACAACTGATGGGGTGTGATACGGAGAATAGAGACAGGAAACCGTTAAGAGTGCCAGTGGGTACGACTAGACGCAGGAAAGGCGAGGGAAGCGTCATAGCACGCTTCGAGGAAGTTGACTTCTATGTAGTATTTTACATTTTTATACCTTAATATATTTTATCAATTTTGTAATTCAAAGAAAGGGTAAGAAAAACAGACTTTAAAAAAGGACATAGTAAAATTAAGACATCAAAAGAACAAGACTACTGAAATTATCATATGGTAGGATTTTTCCATGACCTAATTGCATATTTAAAATACTTCTAGCCCTCCTCTCTTTCAGTACCTGCCCTCCACCCTTGAGGGCGTCTTGTGTTTCTGCCTAAAATCTTTGTCCAATAAACCTTCTTCTTGGCTCTTCAAATAAAATATTTCTTTTATTTATTAATATATTTGATAAAGAGACATGCTAGGGCCAACTATTTATGTTTCTCTTTCTCTCCAAAGACAATTTGGAGCATACAAATATTCCTCTTTGTATAAATATTTCTGAAAAGAGAGTAGATATGAAGAAAAAAAGAATAAAGCTTCAATACAAATCAATACAGACACAGTCTGGAAAGTTTACACAGAGTAAAGAAAAGACTGTCATTTCCACATCTTGGACTGACAGAAAATGAACAATCAACTCTACTACTTAAAGATAAGAAACAGAGGGAAAGTAAAGAAAATGTTTTTGCTTTGTGGCAAGGAATGGGAGTATATATAGACCTAAAAAGGGAAAAGTGTTTTTCACGTTATCTTATTGCTAAGAGATGCTACTGTTAACAGTTGACTGTCATTTCTTACAGTTTTCAAATCCAGATGGGTGGATGTGCGTTATTTTGGAAAATTAAAGTCAAGTAAAAGTGTATATCTTTCTTATATAACTGGATTATATCACTCCATTATACAAATTTTCAATTCATATTCTCTTATTTTTGGTCATTTAGTGGTTTTCTTTTCCAATTCTTGCTAGCGTACAGAATTGTATGATATTAACAACTTCTACCCAAATCTTCAATTGCATCATCGATAATCTCTTTAAAACAGAATAACAAATTATTAGTAAAGTTTTGTCTTGCTAACCTTAAATTGAAAATAAGCTTATTGTAGGTAATTTAGAAAATTCAACATATATGATAAATATTGGCTAATATAGGCAGAAAGATTCACCTATACTCTTATTTTCCAGAGAAAAATCCTGATAATATTTTGATGTATAATCGTAATTAATGCTCAGTTATTTTATTTTTGATGCTATCTTTATCAGATATATTTTTGAAAACAGATTTAAGTTTAATTAGGAAACCTATTTTTCTCTAAATTCTAGATGAACTTCTGCAACAATAAATTATCCAGTATTGTTCATTGTACACTTAAATCTATCATCCAATGGCATAAATTCAAGTATTGTATAGCTTATCTGGAAGTACTGTAAATACTCTTCTCCTTCAACAAATTAAACTAAAACTGAAGGAAGCATGATCAATAGATAGCAAATACTGTACTGGAGTGAAAATTTATTCATTTATCATGAGTATTTTCTTTCTGCTATTAAAATTAAATGGTAGATGGCCTCTGGCCCCTCGTGGCAAGGTATGAAACAGTTTCAACCACATTTGAAACAAATGCTTATTGCTTATATATAATACGACTAAATGTGCATTGCTCAGATATCTATACAAATTATCTCATGATGGAAATATGTTAACATTTATACTTATAAAATGTATGATTTGGGACAAACTATTTAAATTCTCTGATTTCCAGTTTCCTCTCTTGATGAAAAGAATATCTACTTTGTGGGGCTGATGGAAGAATTAAGGAAAAGATACTGTCCTTCATGCGTAGTCAGTGCCTCTTGTTTTCAGAAAAAATTGGTATTCATCCATAGACTTTGTTGAAGAGGCAAAATGATGACATCTCAGACATAGATATTTGCTCTTCGAGCCAATAAATGCATGTGATGTTGAACAAAAAGATGCTCTCTTTGAGAAATTATATCATACAAGCCTGATAAAATGATCACATAGTTAGAGCTAAACAAGATAACCGAGGTATAACAATGCCACATACAGCAGATTACGACAGAAGGAGATGTCATAGTGAGGGGAACGTTGTCATCTGCCTAATGAGAGTGGAACAGATGTATTAATAAAAGAAGAAGGAGAGGAGAGGGGAGGGGAGAGAGGGAGAGAGAGAGAGAGAGAGAGAGAGAGAGAGGGAGACTACAAGCTTTAACTTTCAAGCCAACTTTTCTGTATCTTTCCACCAAACTTTCCTATGAGACTGAGTTTATTTAAGTGGTTTTATAATCCAACACATCCTTCATTTGTTTGAAAAGTACACGGCACCACCTCAAGCACACATCAGATAATAGATGGAAGTTATCACTAGACTAGATTATAAACTGAAATGGCAGAGAAGACAGCCAGCATTGGTTTTCATTTCAAAAATCTACCATCTAAACCACATAGATGGAATATTTTCTGTTAAAATGAGTTGCATTGCCAAAAATGTAGATCAGCCTTATTTTATCATCAATGTAAACACATTCCACATACAAGGGGAACATCATCTTTCCGTTTCCCATCCCATCTTTACATATTGAAAGGCAGCACTGTAAACACTCACAAGATTCAGCAACATGATGATTATGAAATTGATGCAGACAGCAGCAGCAGATGTTGCGAACTGCCAGTGTTGTTTGATGAAGTTCCACTTGAAGGATGCAAACTGCTCCATGACAACCAGGCGGTACACCACCACCGCAAACACCGCGGTGATCACCAAAGAAATCTGTGACACGGGACACCAGAGAAGGCACCCGTGGGTGCGTCATTCACAAGTCAAAAGCAAAGACATAGATCAGAGATGCTCTTGTGACCCAGAGTTAAAGGGATTTAGCTTTCTTAGAAAGGGTGCATTGAGTATATCTTCTCCTTTGAGGGGTAATTTATACTAGAGTCACAATTAATAGGAAAAGATTTAAGCTTTAAATACCTATGCAAGATGGTGTATATTTCTTTTAGCTTGATGTAACCATTGCACAGCGCATACCTACTTCACAACACCATGATGCATGTGAGTGTACATACAATGTTATCTAGCATTTAAAATAAGTGGGGCTCAGGGATGTGGCCTAGTGGTAAAGTAAATGTGGACCCTTAATTCAATATGCAGAACCAACAAAATGAAAATAAGATAAACAGTTAATTAAATTTGCAAGCAAAAAAGACATGAGAAATATTGAAGTTGTTTGAGTATAACAGTCATCCCTCTAAAGCACAAATTCTGTCTGAATTTCATCTTTGAAACAGAATGCTTTCTTTTAATGCCAGATATCCAATTCAGCAGGGTGGCTCATATAATTTCCATGGAGTCTGAGTTGATTTCAGTTCCTCTCAATGAGCACTTTATTTAAAGAGGTGCACGAATTTCCTTTTACAACTTTCCATGATCTGCCCTGATTTCTATTTTCTTTAACTAAGTTACCAAGATACTGAAAGGATGTTTTCTTTTTTAAGTTTGATTTTTTTTTTTATTATCGAACTATACTATGAAGAACACATCTATGGCTTAATTAGAAACAAATGCTTGGTACATTGCCAAGGATATATTTACTGAAGTGGAATAAAACAGAAGTGGACCAAAAACAAGTACTTATTTAAAAAGAATGACTACATGATCCACCTGGTCCTATTTAGCTATTTAAAGCATGCTTACTTGTTCGTGAACTCATCTTACATATATTAGGTCAGATTTATCTTCTCATACTTGTAAACATTAAATGGAGAACCTTACAATCTCTAATTATGAACAAAAGACTGAAAACAATATGAGAAACAAAGTTTGAAAAAGAAATTTGATGGCTACTGTTTTGCATTCTCAGAATCACAAAGTGACTTGGTATCACAAAATGCCCTTTTAACCCTGAAACCCCACAGCTGTGAATAACGATGACTGCACTTTACCATGAAGAATATTCCTGAGACAGACACAAGAAGACGGGTGACTTTATCTGAGAAAGGTTGGTGTGGCTCAGGCTTGCCTGTGATGGGATTTACTATCTCCATCTTATAATACTTGGCTTCAAACTGGGGACGCAGTGTTTCCTAGAGGAGAAACTAAAGTTATTGAAATATCAAAGCTACACATTTTAAAAAGGCCTCCAAGAACCAATATACAACTACTGAATTGGTCCCACTTTTATATTGTCTTCACAAAGATGAACCCTTTAAAAAATAATATGTGGATTATTTTCCAATAAACCTTAATCTGTATTTTAATTAGCATACTTTTCCACTAATGTAGTTTAAGGAAGTGTCATGGAAGCAGCTTAAAAAATACATATTTCATCATTGATCTCTATTATCTTCATGAAGTATGAAGTCCTGTTGGTGAAAAATGTCAAGGGGAAATCTCATGGTATGTAGCTACGCCTCGTCCAGATGTTGGGACCTCAGTTTTTCACACCAGGTAATATCCCAGTCTCTGTGCTTCCTAGCTTTCTAACATCTCACCTCCTCTTCTTCCCATTCAATAAGGTCCCAGGTATAGGTCAGTATACTTCTTCTCCTTTTCCAAAACTCCAGGAAGACAGTAGCTATAAAATATAATGATAATATATTAGTTTCCCAAACCATGACACGTTGCTTTTTTTCTTTACATAGATTTATTTTAGTATATCTTGAAATTGTTAAAATTGCTTATTATTAAAGTGATACTGGGCTTTCTCCTTCCTGTGTCCATGCCACTATCAGTGGGTGTCCCTAGAGGGTGTGTGTTGTTTCACTGAAATCGAGCACAAGACTCATCAAACTGATGCTATGAGGCTAGGTGAACATCACTGAGGAAATATAAATGTCCTTTTGACCAGTACGTGCATATTTAAAATTTTCCAGGAGGCTCAGTTAATGTTTTCTCCAAGAATGACAACAAAGATCAGATACTGCTTTTCTGGTATCCTGAAAAAGGCATGGAAGGAAAAGAGATAGGGGAAGGTCATGTTGGTACAAGAAGAAGAAAAGAAAGAGCAGAGAAGACTCGTGGATGCATATTTATGGTGGACTATTCACGGACAGCAAAGGACTCAAGGAGCAGAGGAAAGATGCCTGAGCTATTATCTGGATTTTCTGCACAAACAGCTTAGGGGGTGTTTTCTTTCTGGTAAGTGGGCCCCACTCTACATTACTGAAGACTTTGTGGACATAAGAGCTTACATATTTTCATAAAAATCTCTTCCACTACTCATCCATCCATCCACCCATCCAGCCATCCATTTCTTGTTCTCTTATTTAGGCTAAGACGCTCTAATATCAGGGATCTTTTTATCCAGCGGCAGAGGACAGTCATCTTCATTATAATGACTGTGATAACACAGTGCAGAAAGACAGTCAATCCTCAATGCTTTTTGGAAAAAGAAAGCCTCAAGGAATGTATTCATTATGTACTGCAAACATATACTAATAAAAATAAAATACAAGCTTAAAAAAAGAAGTTGGAAGAGCAAGGTGAAGTTTGTTTGTCTTAACACACATGAAAGGCAGGAAGCAACGGCTCTGAGGTTTTTTTTGTTTTCCTTTATAATTGTGGTGGTCAATGGATTGTGTCATTAAGAAGTTTAGTTAAGAGAAGCTTAGATAAGAAAAGGTTAACTAAATCTGCTCAGCAATTCCACATCCTAGGTGTAAAAGGGAAATGGGAAAGACAAATCTGCTTCTGTTTCTTGGGAGGAGCTCCAGGCTTCAACTTCACCTTGGGCGTCGTCTCCTGGCTTCCAGCACACACTCTTCAGGTTCCAGCGTAGACTCTTCAGCTTCTGGTGTAGACTCGTCAACCTTCCACTCCAGACCCATTGGGCTCTGCAGTGAGCTCCTGACCTTTGACTAAATCCTTCTGTCTCTAGTATGCAGACAGACATTCCTCATCTGACTCCATGGTGCCCATTGTAAGCCAATCTTGTAAATTCTTACATATTTATATATCTTGTGCTATATCTGTTTCTTTATTAATACTGCCTGATACAATAATCAAAAACCAATACTTGTATTCATTATATATATGTAAGTGTATCAATATTATTCATAGTTCCACGATCTTACATTTATCTCACTTTAAAATTGACATCATCTTTTCTCACATATGGCTTAGGTGTCATCGTCACTCTCCTAACATTCACAAGGAGGTAGGCTGCTATTCTCAGTGCTTGGGTTTTGGAAATAAAAGTGCTGCATTGTCTGCATCCAAAGTCAGGTGCCGGTGAATGGGAGACCCAGGCTTGAATCTCTCACCAGTTATTCAACACCCACGGAGCTTGGCGAATACAGTCTTTGGGCTTGTCCTCCTTTGGCATCTACCATAAATACTAGTCCTAGTTTTCTGTGAAGTTCTAGAAGAGTCAGACAAGGCTACAACATTAAGACGACCAGCCTGACCGATGCAGTGAGATCTCCAACCCTGGCTCTGTCTCTAACAGCAGGTCCCCATCACTGGTGCAGACGGGGAGACCTAGCACTTTCAGGCATGTGGGATTTAGAAGAACGGGGAGGAGACATCAAGGGAGAATTTATTACCAAAGCAAAGCCTAAGGGGAAAAAGTACTGTTTAATTAAGCCATGTTAATATACAGTGAGTAGGAGCCCAGACATACAAATTTTAAGGTAGACCATGATATTTAGAAGGCTCAGTACATTCTACCTGGCCTTAATCCCAGTCCAGGCTTAAAGTTTAACTGTGTCACACACTCCCTTCTTAAGGTACTTTTCCAGCACAGACTTGAATTAAGAGGAATCTGCTACAAAATTCAAGAAAAATAAAGGAAATCTTGGATTTGGATGACTGTAATTGATAATAGCATTATGAAAGATATATTGGGTATTTCTCAGAAAACAGGGTGTTTACTTTAAAGTTTGGTATTAAACTAGCCTTTGGGTTAAAAGTCCATTGGAAGCCTGAGATGCATATATCAATTTTTTCATGCTTTACTTATATAAAGTATGAAGTGAATTCAAATTCCTACTTTAAAATATTAATTAGAAAGAAAACATGCAGAGTAATTTACTGCGTGCCAAACACGGAGGAAAGGTGCAAATTATTCTTTGCTAATCTCTACGAAACTTATTAACAAGCACACAATGAAGATGGTTCACTTTGAAAACTAAAGCAATGGTTGCTCCTGCTGCAGGAACCATCCTAGGGGATGGGTATATTCCGTATTTTAACAGGAGTGGGGGTTATACAAATTCATGGCCTTCTCAAAAGTGATCAACTCTTCTTAGGATCTGTGGACTTCCTTGGATGCAAACTATGCCTCAGAAACAAGGTTTTAAGTTCATCTTTTCTTGAGCCATGATGTTAAGGGAAATAAATCAGCTAAACATTACATGGTTTCTCTTAAATGAGAAATCTGATATTTAAATACATCAAAGAGTACAGTGAAAGGCAGATAATAGGAGACAGGGAGCTAGATCTTTTGTAAATAAGAGATGAAGGAGGAGGGTGAGAGGGAGGGAAGGGGACATAAAAATAATTAAGATGTGTTACGCACACGTACCGACTCCCGCGAGGAATGTTAACGTTTTGTACTGCACGCATGCTAATTACAGAAAAGAGGTTTTAGAAAGCAATATTTTATTTTTTTGTCATACTGGGAAATCAAACCTTTGGCTCTGATCAAATTGGACAACTACCTTACCACTCCCAACCCAAAGGTAAGTATGCTTTTAAAAGCCAAGTGGCTAAAAATATCTCTTGACTTGATTTTTGTGAGACTATGGTGGTTTTTCCAGGTTGGTACTTTTGCTTTCTCAGTCATGGTAATGTTTGTGCTTAGCAATAGAGGGCTCTGAAAAAGAAGTGAAGAGCGGGTAAGAGCAGACACACACAGGAGGAAAGGCTGGGCCACCCTAAACTAGAAAGGGGTCAAATCTACTTAAGCACATTCAAATTTCAGCAGCACACAATGAAACGAAGCTCCGTGCTGCCCTGAGCTCTCCTCCGGAGTTGCCTCACTGACTTACCTCTTGTCCTGGGTGAAGATTCATGTCTGAATGAAGGAAATGGGAGAGAGAGGGCAGTAAAAGCTAAGGTCCTAACACAGTGACTTCATTATCCTGAAAGAGTTATAAAAATTCTGTCTCATTCTTGTAATTGAAGGAAAAGGGTTGAGCTGCCATCTGGCTCAGGCTTAAGTCTGGAGCATGAGTTTCAAGGAGAAACTAGAATCTGAAACGAACTCCATGAATCAAGGGCTTCCAAATCTACACCTGATCAATCACGCAAGTGGCGGCAAGCACGAGTCACTATTTACATTTGGCAAGCATTGTTAACTCTGAGCATGGCTGGGTGTGGGCATCTCCTAAACAAGCATCAGATTGAAGGAATACAGCCGCATTAATGAGAGAGGCTCAGGTGGGTTTTGGAGGGCCGGGAGTGTGGAGAGAATGAAAGAACTGGAGACTTGAATCAGGGAGATGTGGCGAGCTTGCTGGCTCAGGCAGCTTTAAAATATCCCATCACCCAATCTGCACCTTATACCAGTTAAATCCATATATCTGTGGATATTCCCAGCATTACAATTTTTTATAGAGCTCCCAAGAACTTCCAGTGGGCAGTGAAATTTGCATACTATCTCCAAGAAGAACTTATGCCGATGAAGGAGGGGAATGGAACTACAAGTAATAGTTACTGTCCTAGTTGAACCTCACCACCAGAACTGTCAGAAACAATAATTATCATTTTATTTTGATGCCCAAATACTTATAAAACATTGTGATAATCACTTCAAATGCATTACTTCTAATGTCTGTAAAACTCACTCTCCCAATAGTTAACAAAACTCTGAATTCATGGAATCTGTATACATGAAGTAGGCCACAAAATGACTTCTATTACTGTCCATAGTTTCATAGGTTAGAAATTTGAGATATTTGAAAGGTTAACCATCAAATAGATGGTTAGAACGTACATCATCCTAATTTCAAGATTCACAGTCTATTTGCCATACTTCTCTGGATATTTGCAGGTAGACTGAAGAATAAAGATGCTGATAGGTCAGAATGGAAATCCAAGAAAAAGTCATGAAAATTGTCAAGAAAGAATATCTTAGAGATAGGTAGAGAAGGAAATAGAACCAACAGTCAAATAGCAAGAAGTTTAGAGGGAACCCCAATGAACAAGCACTAAAGAAGCCAAGAATGAAGATGTCACCACAATAGGAGACAGTGAACAGGGGAGGGAGAACATCATACTTGATGCTGAGATGAACATGCTTTAAAATGAGAACACACAGAGTGAAAACCATTGCTTTTTTTTTTTTTGTTACCGGGAATCGAACTCGGCTCCTTGTGCTTGCACAGCAGGCGGCGAAACCACTGAGCTAAATCCCCAGCCTACCATTGCTTTTTTAAAAGACTGAAATGTCAGTATGGATACAGCTGAAAGGAAAGTTTAGAAATATAGAGGCATTATTTGTGTTGTGTGTAGAGAGACAAATCAGATATATTAGTTACAGATATATAATGCCCAAAAGACACACACCAAATGTTGGTATTAATTTGGGTGTGAAGTGGCTTATGAAGCACATTCACCTTCTCCTTTGGACAC